TGCCCAAAATCCCGAGAAGAGAATGGAGGAGAAGGGATTGCGGCGTGGCCATCCCCTCTGGGGGATGATTTCTCGCTTTCTGTCTCTCTGTCTCTCTCTGTTTTTCTATGCCCTATAGCAAAAACCTCTCTCCAAAAAAAGAAAAAGAAAGAAAGAAATATAATGAGAAAAGGTTTCTCTTTAAACAGGAAAAGAAATCAGAGGTGATGTATCAAAAACTGTTCGTGAAACAGTTTCAAGTTGTGATAACAAATTATGTAAAATTAAAAGTCGCAATGGAACAATCATTTCTATAAATTGAGAGCATGAAACAGGACTAACGGCACTCAAGGAAGACATGATAGGAAAACAAAGAAACTTAAGTACAGTCTGGAGAATTGATTTGTTTTGTTTTTTAAATGGGAGATAAAATAGAAAATATTGAGTTAATGTTGAAAACAGCTAAAAGGAAAATAAACACTGTAAAAAAACATAAACATAAAGGCTGTGAAAAGTGAACAAAATTGAATGATACTGGGGCCAGTAGGTGGCATGGCAGTTTAGGGTACTGGACTCCCACAGAACTGACTGTGGTTCAAGTCCTGGACCTGGTGGCTTGCTTTCTCATTTTTCCTTTCTCTCTATCTCTCTCTTGTCAAATTAAAAAATAAAAACAATAAAGTAGAATAAATAAATAATTCTTTAAAAAATTAAATGATAACAAACAGTAAAAGGATTAGTGTGGGATGGAGGAGGGAGATGTGGAGGTAAAATTGGAGACTTTGGGATTATACATTATGTGTCCCTGAAGAGTCTAAACCAAATAAAAAATTTAAAAAATATATTTAAAGGTGTGCGACTAGCGGGTGGCATGATGGTTAAGTTGCCAGACTCCCCACATAATTGACTGTGGCTCAGGTCTCAGACCTGGCAACTTGAAAATCCTATCAGCCCCTTGCACATGCGTGCTCAAAATTTCAAGAGGAGAATGGAGGGGAAGGGATGGCTGTGTGGTCATCTCTCTCTGGGGGTGATTTCTCATTTCCTCTCACTCTCTCTCTGTCTCTAGCAAATGCACACGCTCTATGGCAAAAACCTTAAAAAGAAAAAAAAAAAAGGAAAAAAGAAAACTGAAGGCCCATATCCCTCCTGAATCTATAAGCAAAAATTCTCAACTAAATGGGAACACATTTAATCCAGCAATACATAAAATAACACAACGAGGGAAATCTGTCCCGGGAATGCAAAACTGGTTCACCATCGAAAACCATCGACATACTGAGGGACACATGACAAAGCTGCCTGGTTTTGGGGATCGAGTACAGCTTCATGAAGGACTGACTCAAGCTACAGCATGGATGAACCTCAAAGCCTTGTGGGGCATGAAGGAAGCCAGATCCCAAAAACAGATACTGCATAGCCTGGCTTATAGTCAATGTCTAGAAAAGGCAAATTGAGAAGCCAGCAGGTGGCATGGTAGTTAAGATGCTGGACTCCCACACGGCCAACCGTGGTTCAGATCCTGGGCTTTCCAGAGGAAGAAACCATAATCATTCCCCCATTCCCCTGTGAGCATAACCCCTCACTCTGCAGTCCCCTCCCAGGATGATCCATGAATGGAGGTGACAGAAGCAGGGCTTCCCCCCACACTCTCCAGCCCAAAAGGTATATTCGCATCCCAAATGGCTTTGGAACCCTGCCAAGACCGGGTTGGGGTGGGGGAAGGGATTGGCAGCCTTCTCATTACCCTTCTGTTCTCACTGACTCTAGCTGCATAGGTTAAGACAGGCAGGGCAGGGGAGGGACTAAGATGTACCTGCACTTCGAAAAGCTGTTTAAAAGCGTCCTCTTGGAAGGCTTTCAAATTGACAGTGGCCAGCACTGTAGGGAGAGGAAAGAGGAGCTGAGAGGTCATCCCAGGTGCCACCAGGGAAGGGCTGCAGGTCCACCCTGCATGGGGTAGGGGAGGCGTACTGAGCAGCCACTTGTCGTAGCCATTGCCACATTGCTGGGCCCCCGCAGGGACGCTCAGCACAAGGAGAAGGGCAGCTGAAATGAAACCCTCCTTGTGCAGAGAATGGACAAGCACAGGCCTCCTGGGTTGAAACCTGGGACAGAATGCGGGGTTCCTGCCTCCAGACTCTGCACACTTTCTAAGGTCCCACAGGATGTGGGGAAGTGCCACGAGGAAGGAGGGGACAGTAGAACACAGAGTCGTCCCTCCAGTGCTCAAGGCTACCTGACAGACACACCCCGGGCCCACTGGCCTGCACAGACCTTGGTCACTTCCCTCGCTGTGGGCGCTTCGTGACTCTGTCCTGAATTTTCCTGCTGTTTTATTCTCTAGGGCCTACGAAGTGTCTACACTGAGCCTCAGGCTGTTGGGTCCCAGGGCCAGGACTCCGTGTAGGCTGGGTTCCTTACACAGCTTCTTCTTCTGATCCCCCAGGTGGTTCCCCATTTTATGAAGATGGTCCTAATTCTGAGCCGTGGCCAGCACCATCCAGGTTCCCAGCCACAGGAACATCGTGGAAGGTGGAAAGGGGGCCCAAGGATAGAGGAGCCCTGTCACTGCTCCCTTTGACGGTGAAAGGAGTGAGGAGTAGCGACAGAGCTGGCAAGTGGACCCCGTGGGCTGACCCTGGGTCCTCGTCCACCATGATATCGAGTCCCTGGGATCCAGGTCACTGGACATGGAAAGAAAGGCATCAGAGACACACCCGATGGCCATGGCCTGGCCAAGGCACAGCAGCGTGGGTGGGGGGATGCCACGTGACAAGGTCTGGGGCTCGGATCCTGGGTCACTCTAGCCACAAGCACCTGCAACCCAGCTGACTACATGGCTAGAAGGGGACCCAGACGTGACCTCATCAGGAGTCCTGTCACTCTCTTTTTTTCTTTTTCTTTTTCTTTTTTTTTTTTTTTTGCTATAGGGTGCATGCGCTCACCAGACAGAGAGAGACATAGAGACAGAAAGCGAGAAATCACCCCCCAGGGGGGATGGTCACGCCGCAATCCCTTCTCCTCCATTCTCCTCTCGGGATCTTGGGCACGCACGCACACACGCCCGGCGTGAGTTCTAAGCCACCGGGTCCGGGATGTGAACTGCGGTCGACTACGTGAGAGTCCAGCGACATAGCCATTACGCTAACTGCTGGTTCCCCTGTCACTTTCTAAGAAACAAATGGGCCCAGCCTCTGTGACCATCAGTAGCACACTGAACTGCAGTGGCAGAGGCCACATGGCTGACTTTGGCTTCCCGTCACTGGTGCAGTGGATGTGGAACACGCCAGGTGCACGCGTGTGTGCCCAATATCCTGGTGAGCCAGAGGTCTAGGCGAAAGGGCTCATTATCTGACCCTCTCACGGATACGCCCTCTCCCTCTCTCGTGTGTGTACACGTCCTCCCTATCAAAATTAAATAAGTAAACTTCAAAAATAGTAGAACGTATGAGCGAATGCATAAAGAGTAAGCAAGTAAGGGCCTGGCTGCGAGCCTCAGTTCTCCCTCGGCGTGACCGTAGGCCTGTACCTCCTTTGACGTAGCCCTCCAGCACGTGTTCATGATGATCCGAGGTCAAGAGCAGCTCCCTAATCCCTCTTTTCAGCAGCGCCTGTTGAGGAAACGGAGCAAAATGAGCCCGCTCCCCTCGTTCCAGTGGAAGAAAGACGTGAAGAAGGGCTCAGGGTCTCAGGGTGGAGCTAGAGCGAGGTGCAAAATCGGAGGCGGCCATGGTGCGGCTTCTTTGGGAAATCGTGCCCTGTCCTGGCTCGGAGTCTGACCCGGGGGTTGGCCCTGAAAGCAGCCGGGTGTGGGCTTGGGCAGCCAGAAGCTGGAAAAAGGTGGCTCGTCTGTCAGGAGGCGCTCTGAGCGAGCACCTGTCCTTGATTGCTGACCATTGCAGGTCCGCCAGCCCCCAGCCTTAATGAGGAAGACCTCTATTAACGCCATTTTTTCCAGAGTCTTGCTATTGTTGTTATAGGGCACATGCACTCACCAGAAAGACAGAGCGAGACAGAGACAGAAAGTGAGAAATCGCCCCCCGCCCACAGGGAGTGATGGCCACACCACAATCCTTTCTCTTCTACTCTCTTCTCAGGATTTTGGGCACGCATGCGCACACGCCTGGCGTGAGTTTCACATCACCAGATCTGAGACTTGAACTGGGGTCAGCCACGTGGGAGTCCAATAATGTAACCATCATATCATCTGCCGAGCCCTTAGCATCATGTTCTGCCTCTTCGTCAAGTTAACCAGGAACACCCGACTGTTCTGCATGTACCGCACATTCACAGAGAAACTGAACTCGATCCCATATATCCTCCTAAAGCCCAGTGCCTAGCAGACCTTCCCACGTGGCAGGGAATCAGCGCACGCCAGGAACTGGGGAAGCAGGCGTGTGACCATGGAGGTGAGCGTCTCTTACCTGACAGAGATAAGGCATGTAGAGTTTGTCGAGACCGTAGGAGCCATATTCGTTCTCCACTTGCAGGGCGATGATGGGGCCTCCCAGGCTGTACTGAGAGACGGCAAACGAGGGCAGCAGAGTGAGGCTCCTAGCACCTGAAGACTGGACGCTGAATTTTCTGCTGACAGCCCGGCTGGCATGCTCCACTGATCCAAGGTCCCTTATGGTCTGTCACTCCCCTCCCAGCCAGGAGGTCACTTCTGGGCACTGAAGCTGTCCAGGGTCCCCCTTCCTTACACCTGTAGACGAGTGACTCCCACCATGTCCCTTCTGTTCCCACACTCAGTAACGACTTAAACCTGAGCACTCCCACCTACAACCTCTCCTGTGACCTTCCGCCCTCCTCCTGCCTCAGGGAAGTGTCACCACTCGTCTGGGTGCCCTTTCCTTCCGCCACCTGCTCAGGAGGATGGCTGTTAGCCCAGATCCCTGTCCCTTCTGTACCTTTGACTCTTCCTTCCAAACGCACTGACTCCCATCACCATGGAAACTTGTGCAGACCCTTCAAGTCAGGGAGAGATGGGGGTGTGCACCCCTCCAGCCTCAGATGCCTCACGCACCCCTCAGTAGGAGCCAAGCTTCCTGAGGGGCTACCAGTTGTCTGCGTCTGGCTTTCTGTTCCTCACTTCTCACTCAGTCCTCAGACCGCCCTGGTAAAGCTCCCAGCCCATTGCACATCCTCCACCATCAGCACTGACCTAACTGTGCTAAAATGAAAGGGCTTGCCGGGGTTTAATTGGGCCGTTCAGTGTCCTTCCACACTCAAGCGCTTTCTATCCTTGGAGCCTCTTCACACTGAGAGCAGAGGTCTCGGAACGAACATCCGATCTTTCCCTCCTGACCTAAGTGGCCCCGTGCTGCCAGCTGCAGAGCACGGTATTCCCTCTTGAAAAAAGGATGTTGGCAAAATTAAAAATGATAAGAATGAAGATTGCAGAAATGCAGATGGCAAGGCGTCAGCCCTGCCCACAGCAGATGGACCGCAACTCCACCTAAGAGACTGCCGGTGTAATCCTAGCAGTGGTGTGTCCGTTCCCGCAGTGGGGCCAGCCTCTTCCACAGCCATATTGCAGAAGCAACTGCTTATATTGTCTTTCTTATTTTTTGTTGTCATTTTTGTTTTTAATTTGCTAGAGGGCATGTGTGCTCACTGGAGAGAGATGAGGGGCAGGGAGGGAGTGAGAAAGCAGCCCCCCTCTGGGGCGTGGTCTTGCCACAATCCCTTCTCCATGTCTTCCTCCTTGCAGGGCTTTGGGCATTCATGCACATGCACCCAGCGTGTTTCTTAAGCCACTGTGGCTGGGACTCTAACCACGAAGCAGTGACGTAGGACCCAGCTGCCGCAACTACCATGCCACTGGCCGGCTCCCATGTAGCCTTTCTTTTTCTTTCCAATCACTCAAATCTTCTCTTTACAATGATCCTAATAAGAATAACTCCTCACTAGTCAGAATTAGACTAAATTTATACCTGTCATAGTTTCTCTCAAACAGCAAAACAAAGTCTAAGAAAAGAAACTTCTAGTCTACCACCCAGAAATCCCGGTTTTCAGCCCAGCTCAAGCTACACCGAGTTGTGTTTGCAAATTCAGATTAGTTCTTCCTTAAATAACAACCATAAGTGTTCTCTTGTTTGGAGGAGAGAGTTACATGATATCTCAAAGTTCATGGTAAATCCATAGCATGAAAGAACTCTGCCTGAGTTTCAATTTTTTTTGAACCAAAATAAACTTGTACTTTAATTCCACTTTTCCACAAATTGTATGAAATCCCCTTGTATTTTAAAAACCAACCAAAAATGGGTCCAGTGGGTGGCCTGATGGTTAAGGCACTGGATTCCAACATGGCTGACTACAGTTCAAGTCCCAGACCTGGCGGCTTACTTTCTTACCCACCCTCAGGTCAAATTTAAAATAATAATTTTAAAATTTAACTTTATTTATTTATTTAGATTTGACCAGAGAGGGACAAAGTGAGAGTAAGAGAGAGACAGAGAGAGAGAAAGAGAAAGTGAAAGAGAAAGTGAGAAAGCAAGTTGCCAGGTCTGGGACTCGAACCACAGTCAGCCATGTGGGAGTCTAGAGCCCTTAATCGCCATGCCATCTGCCAACCCAATAAATAATGATTTAAAAAATAAATAAAAATCAATCAAAAGACTATTACATTAAACAAGTGACTGTTGCCTAATAGATGGCAAGGCACAATACTCTTTGTCAGGAACTGTCTGTGTGTCGTGGGTTGAAAATGTGAAAACGACTCATTTCTCATTAAGTGCATGAGGTCTGCGTACTCCGGGAAGAAGGACGATGTATGTGCAGCACCACCAATATTCCCAGAGACACACAGTGACACAGCAACCAAGGTGTTATAGACAAGTCTGCAAAATCCAAACATGCATGCACGAGGGACCAGAGAAACAAACCAGGGTGCAGCTACGCTGTGGAATACTATGCAGCTGAGAAAAGTAACAACAGATTTCAAAAACATATTTTCACATAGCAAAAGAAATATGCTCAGGACCAGCAGTTGGCGTAATGGCTATGTTGTTGGACTCCCACATAGTTGACTACAGTTTGAGTGGCTTGAACTCACTCCAGGCGCATATGTGTGCGTGCCGGAGACCCCAAGAGGAGAATGGAGGAGAAGGGATTGCAGTGTGGTCATTCCCCCTGGGGGGTGATTTCTTGCTTTCTGTCTCTGTTTCTCTCTGTCTTTCTGGCAAGTGAATATGCCTTATAGCAAAAACCTCTCCAAAAAAGAAAGAAAGAAAGAAAGAAAGAAAGAAATATGCTCAATAGGAATTGTATCTTTATACATAAGAAAGGATACGCGCACACACACACACACATACACACACACACACAGGGGTGTCTGTCATGTGCTTTCAAGTGTATAGAGAATCTTTGGCAAGATACACAAGAAGCTGGGGAAACTGACTGTTTCCTGAAAGGGCAGATAAACAGCTGGAGGACAGGGAGGGAGAGAGCCTTCCCTCCAGAGCCTTTCTCCCAAGGAACTGTGTTAAAACAACAAAGGTTGGGCCAGCAGGTGGCATGGTGGTTAAGAGTCCCACATGGCTGACTGCAGTTCACATCTCAGACCTGGCAGCTGGCTTTCTTGCTTTTCCTCTCTCTCTTTCTGTCTCTCTCTGGTAGAATAAAAAATAATAATAGCAAATAAAATTAAATAAAATAATTCTTGGGGGGAAAAAGGTCATTTAAGAGTGGAAACAAACAGCAGAAAAATCAGGAATTTCACCAGCTTCAAGTGCATACAACCATGACGGCTCTTGTGCGGTCCTGTCCTTGTGTCTTTCTAGAAGCCCTCGAGTGAAGACATGAGGACGGACAAGCAATAGCGTGTGTCCTTAAGATGAGGGTCTATGGGCTGGCAGGTGGCATGGTGGTTAAGGGCTCTGGACTCCCCCATGGCTGACCGCGGTTTGAGCCGCAGACCTGGCGGCTTGCTTTCTCACTTTCCCTTTCTCTCTCTCTCTCACTCTAACCTTCTCTGGTCAAATTTAAATGAATAAATAAATAAAAATAAGATAATTATTTAAAAAAGAAAAGATGAGAATCTAGAATCCAAAATGACAGGAACGTCCGCTTCATTCCTCGTAGGGCCTGGCACGGCCGATTTGTGGCCGTACCACATGCACAATTGCCCTCGAGTGAATGTGAGAAGGAAGGGACAGGGCCTTCACTCTACCTGGAGAGGAAGCACCCTGGGAATCAGCTGGTTGAAGTACTTGTCCACCGCCTTCACGAAGCCCTCGTGGGTTGTTCTCAGTTGCACCGGGGGGTCTTGGAGCAGCCAGCTGGGGAGAGGGGGGCCCAGTGTCTGAGACCGGAAGGCAGGAGCAAGGCCGTGGACCCCCAAAGCACAGCCAGTGGTCTCGGGAGGCTGGATACGGTCTGCACTCTGCCCACTGTGCCCAATCCCCAAGCAGGCCAGTGCCCTGAGACGATTAGGACTGCACGAATGACCATCCTCCCCACCTCGTGCAATTTTAGAGAAAACACATGCCTTTATCACCAGAGCACTTCCACCCAGGCGGTGCGTGCAATGCCACCCAGTCTGGGGAGGGGTTGGGTGTGCCCAGCCGCTGAGACCCCCCCGTCCTCGCGAGTATCCAATACTCCCTCCCAAACAGCGCTGGGTCACAGCTCCCATGAGCCTTGAGACTCCAGGGGAGCAAACAGCTACAGCAGGAGGGCTCCCAGGGTGTGTGCGGGCCAGGCCGCCACTCAGATGCACCTGCTCCCCTAGAACCTCTAGTTCCTGCCTTGGGCCCTGTCAGCCCTGAGCCTATGGTAGAGGAAGCCTTGTTGCCAGGGGCGTCGCTGGGGGAGCAAGAGCAGAGCCCAGCTGTGTCTTTCTGGAAGCCCTGGGATGCAGACAGGAGCACAGGAAAAGCAAAATGAGAAGCATCAGTTGGAGGCCTGGAGGCTCCTGGGGACAACAGAGAGTTCCTGGATGGTCCCCCAACCTCAGGCGTCTGAAGGCCAGCACCACAGAGAAGACTAGGCCAGAGAGACAAGGAGGGGAAGGCCTGAGGCTTAGGTGGGTAGAGAAAGTGGCCTTTACTCCACAGAGGAAGAGTGAGGTCAGCGGGGCAAGCCTGGCACCTGCAGAGGTTTGAGTCCTGCTGGAGGCTAGCAGGTCCCTCTTGCACTGCAGGAGGGCGGAGGTGGCTACAGCCCAGTTCTGAGTGAAGAAGAATGGAGCTTCCTAGTGCTCTTTGGCCACACCCAAACTCAAGGCCCCAGGGACCTTTGTCTCTAGTTCCTCATCTGCCTTCCGGGACAGCATCTTTCAGAGCTCCGCCTGCACCTACCATCACCGCCTGCTAGGGGCCTGCATGCACAGTGCGGTGTGGACAGGTCCCTCAGCCAGGCCCTCTTCATTACAGTTACACGGAAACTCTCTTTCGTTTTCTGTTGGAAAACAAAAGACTTTCCTACAACCACAACTCGGGGCTCTCTGCCCCACGTACCTGGGCAAGCCCCCGAGGTCGATCTCGCTGCAGACGTAGGGGCCTGGACGCAGGATCACCCACAGCCCCAGCTCCGCAGCAAGCAGGATGAAGGCCCTGGGGAGGAGCCCACGTCAGTGCCTCTCATGGGGTGCAGAGCAAGGCCGGTGGGGAGGGAGCCCCCACACACTGCAGGGGTCCGAGCTGCCTGGCCCCTGTCCTCACTTCCTCTCCCACCCAGGGAGACTGGGGTGCAGGGGAGGCCCAGCCCACCCAGAAGAGCAGGGAATCCCTCCACCAGGCTGGAGGCTGGGTGTTCAAAGGCCTCAGTGTTGGGGCTGTCCCTGTAACCTACCGGGTGCCTAAAGAGGGCATCAGACAGAGTCGCAGGGTCCTCACAGCGAGTCTGGCCCCAACGGCTTTGCTAAGCTGGAGGGCAGCCTCGCCCAGCCCAGGTGGCTGGCCCCCACTGTAATATCCACTGAGGGTAGGCTCTTGGCCTACTGGGGTGTCATGGAAAGGTGGGGCCCAGGTCACTGGTCCAGCCCTCCTGAGTGGCAGATCAGAGCTGGGAGCTTGTCCCAGACTGAGAACAAGGCCTCAGACCCCAGCCCCTCTCTGGCTCCCCCTGGCTCCTAATCAACCCCAAGGGACCACCTCTGCCTCCACCCCGACCAGGTCACAGAAGCCGCCACGCCACATACTCCAGGTCCAGGTTCCCGGAGAAGTCAAATTTGCCTCTTTCTGGCTCATGGAGGTTCCACGGGACATAGCTGGGGGAACAAGATGGAAGAAAGGCAAGTGTCGTTGGACTTCCTTCTTCCCAATGGCTAGGTCAGCCCTAAACCCAAGCCCAAACCTGAGGTAGGGCTATTTAGGATGGAGATGATGTTCCGATGAAAATTTAAGCTCGGTTACAAGAAAGGGCCTTTCTCTATTGCCCAACTGTGGTCCAAGCTGCCAATTCTTTGATGATTTTTAGATTCCTTGGATTTATGCATAAATTTCACCATCTCATTCTAAATAACAACCATTCAAATATGAAGAAAAGGAAAAACAAACAAACAAACAAAAAGTCTTACGTCTGCCCAATACATTGCAGCTACGAATTAATGAAAAAAAGACTACCCGAGGGGTTTCTATAGATTAATAGATGGTATCCCCTTTAGGCCTGAGCAAGAAGGGCCCCTGTCAAGGTCTCTCCCGCAGAACCAAGAGTCTGCAGGGTTTAAGGGACATGTGTGAAACGTTACTAGGTCCTTTCTTAATAAGCGACTGTCTTCGTTTGTGCTCACTGACTGACAATGGTTTTCATTGTGTCCCTGTCACCATGTTTCCCACAAGCCCTGTGGCTCTTATCACAGCACGCTGTGCTGTGCAGATTCGGGGGAGTGTGTGTG